GGCGGCTGGGGGGCTGCCCCCGTGGCGGCGATTTCGGGTCCCTTCCCACGGAGACCAGGGGTGGCCGCGGGTTCGCCCTCCACTGACTCGGGGACCAGGGGTGGTTTCCGGTTGTTCCCACGGGCACCCCTGGGTCGGCGGGTCCCCCATCTCTGTGGCTCAGCCCCAGGGACCAGGGTGGCCGGTGTCCACTCCCAAGGGGACCAGCCCCGGGGGTTTTCTGATAGGACTTGAAAAACCAGAGCTCTGCGGACCGAGGCATCGCCCCAGGGCGCCGGGCGGGGGAGGCCCCTGCGCCCCAGGGCGCCCGGCGGGGGAGGCCCCTGCGCCCTTTGCACGGGTTAACACAGAAACCGGGTCACATTTAAAATGTTGAGATGGGGCAAAAATCTGCCCCAGTGGGGCAGCAGCGAAAAGCAGCGCTCAGGGCCCCTCCCTCCAGGGACAGGAGCCGAGAGGGGGGCAGAGGCCAAGCAGGGAGGACACCCCCTTACTGGCCATCGCTTCAGGCCTCTTTGGCCCTAAGAAACAGAAGCTTATTTCTTGGCCCCACGGTCACCAGGGACCAAGACTTCCCTGTTTCCACGCCAGCCTCGCACTGTTGGGCCTCTGCTCTCGGGGGGCCTGGAGGTGCAGCTGCTGGGGCCACACCAGGCAGCAGGGAGGAGGTGTGCCCCCCCCCCCAGACGATGCATTTCATTTTCTGGGCTCCTCCCGGATGTCACAGGGCCCTTGGTTTAAGCCTTTACCTTATTGGCCACCTTACCACCTCTACCCTCGGAGGCAGCTGGGAAATGCAGTCCCTCACCTGGGCACACTGCCACCTGCATGGCTACTCAGACCACAGCCTCCAGGAGCTGGGATATGGACATCTCTCTCTCCAGGGCCCCCATCCGACCCACTGATGAGGTCCCTAAGGCCCCATCCATCGCTCCATCTGGGACTGTCCCCCACCCACCCCTACTCCAAGGTCTGTGCCTCCTGGACTGACCAAGACACTACACAGAGCAGCCGGCCCCTCCCCCTCCCCGGGAGGTGAGCGGGGCTCCGGGCTCGGGGCTCTGGGCTCCGACCTCCTCTGCTTGCCTGGGGCAAAGTCCTGACAAAGGAACACACTCCCTAAATGCTCGTTGAATTGAAATCTTTGAACTTGCACCCTTGGGAGATTCTAGTCCTGGGAGACCGGGCTCCCAAGTCCCTGTGGAAGTTGGTGCCGGGACAGGACTTGCTGGGCTGACGTTCGGTGGTTGGATCTTTCTGGGACACGCCTGCTCCGTGTGGGAACAGATCCTGTGTCCTGGGGCCCCTTCCCTCGCCCACGCGCTGCTTGTGCCCAGGATCGCAGTTAGTTAGCTCGTTTTGATGAAGTCCTTTATGATCTCCCCAAGTAGGTACTATAAAAGGGCACAAAGACAAATGAGTTATTAAAGCACAGAAATCATTACGGGGGG